GACTGGGGCCGTAACATACGGTGGGAGAAAAGGTCTAGAGCAGGGCTAGTTCAGATTAGCTTGAACTGGCATGTAGCCATACCAGGCTTCCAAAGCGACTCCTCCAGGAACCTGCAGCAAAAGTTGAGAAGGTTCCTCTGATTTTGAGCTAGTACTGTGAAATATTTAGACCAAGTTCTTCCCCCTCCTTCATCTCCCCTACAGCTCCAAGGGATTTATAAATTCATGAGTCTATCTGGACCCTGTGCTGCATACTGCAATTTGTGCTTTCAGTGCTGGGCCACGACTTCACGTCTCATTGCCTGTCCACCTAGGAACTTTATTAATTTCCCACACTTGCCCTGCCCTAGACCAGTACTTCACTCCTGACACAGGCAGCTAAAGGGGTATGCAAAATAATAGTGATCTGTGGCTGCTGTTCTCCCACCACATCAAGCTGTTTTAACTATGAGAAATTATTTTGTGGAGAAATAAAGGAGTACAGTACTGTAGCACCAAGCATGTTACTTATTCTCCATGCTAATTTATTGTGCTTATCCACAGGCTGATGATGCACTGACAAAACACTTGAAAGTACACATAAAGTACAGGAAAGCCTGTAATAAAAATGCCATCTGAACAAATGTAGCAACTGTTATTTTTAAACACTACTGGGTTCTTCCTTAGTTCCTTGTTTGTTTCCTAGGAGCACAGTCTTGCCGGCTTGTGTTCTGCTTTGAACTGTAGGTACAGTTTAACATGTACTTAGGAGCTCTTAAGCAAGATCAACAGACTCTCATGTGAAAATGCTGTACTCCAGATTATTTTTTTAAGCACATTTCATTTCTATCTAAAACCAGGAAGTTGATAATGCCCTTCTGAACAGATTGTATTAACTATAACACACATAGCTATATATAACTATAAACATCTACTTTGCATAAAATCAAGGTCTTAACAAAGGTATTTTTGCTTTGGGACAAGAGAAACTTGACAAAAATGGGGAAAAAACACCCCCAGATGTACATTTACGCTTAAGGAATGTTAGCGGCTAAACTGATGCAAAGAAATAATCTGTATCATGATATACATGACTGTTCACATGGTTAATTGATGTTTTTAAAGTGGAGCAAGTCTGCAGCCTGGGAATTCCAATCACCTTCTACGGTGAAATGACTGGCTCAGTAGACGAGGGGAGAGCAGGGGATATTGTCTACTTGGACTCAGCAAGGTTTTTGACACAGTCTCCCATCAGATCCTCATAAAGGAGAAGATAAAGCATAGGCTAGATGAGCAGACAGTGAGATGGACTGAAAACTTGCACAAAGTCCACTGTTTTCCTTTTGGCTCAATGTGTACTATAAATTTCCATGGGTGCTGATGGGAAGCACTGAGCCCTTGATACAGCACCTATCAGACAAGTTGGGGGTATGTTTCTCAACATGGTAGGCATTGGGTAACATGCAAAGTCACACAGGGAGAACATTGCAACAGTGGGTCAGCCAGCTTAGATTTTGTTATAATTCTGTATTTTACAGATAGACAACGTGTAGGGGTGCAGCAGAAAGAGTAAAAGACTTCCTGTTAGTCTGACATAATAAAAGAATGGTTTACCCAAAGATCATGAGGCTTAAAATTATCTTTTCACAGGAGTGATAGCACAACTATGTTTTGTGTATCTTCTGGCTCCACATGCTAGCAGATCATAATACAGTATTCTGCACATATACAGCTATTACTGTCCCTAACACTAGCCAATATGCAACCAGCAATGTCAAGTACATGAACAGTAAATGGAGAAATCTCACAAATACTTGTAACAAATGTGACTCTTCTACAATCTTCAAAACAATGACATAAGGTATAGATCACGTGAACTGTAGTTCATAGTAATGCCTGGAACAAGACCTAAAAGGCTTAAAGCCAAAGTTCTAAGCATCCGTCCTTCACAATAACAGTGTTCTTGGCCAATTCATCAATAACTTTTTAAAACACAGGGGTACAGGGCCGAAGTAATAATATTTTTACTTTTTAATACAATGAGAACTCATACCCATATTTGTTAAGTCATGAGCTCTAGTCTAAGTACTCACCATTACTAAAATGTGCCAGCTGTTCCCAGAAGGCCTTGTGCAGATCTGTTAAAAGTTCTTCCTTTTGTCGGACTGAGAGATTATTCTTTACAGTTAAATGGTCCAGAATATTTGATACAATATTTAATCTACACTTGCACTCTTCTGGTATATAGGACTTCAGTGAATTGACCATTTTCACCATAAGCTCCCAGTTGAATAACCTTTCCTGAATGTCCTAAAACAGACATAAAAGGGTCCTGTTTAGAAAGGAAGAACGGGTCTTTGGTTGTGCTTGTGCTTTCATTGAATTATTTATTCACAAACTATGCAGAAAACTGAGGAGGCTTCCTAAAACCATGTGAATAATAATCTTCATGTACTTCAATACTTCTGAAAATCTTGACTGGTGTAGGACAGCAGTGGGTTTATTGCATGTTCAGCTGCAAGAACTAATGTAAAACTGCTGGTGTTTTTAATTATTTGCACCTGTCAAGAAAACACTAAGGCAGGAAAAGACAAGGAGCTTGTAGAACAAACTTAAATACTCGAGAGGGAAAGATGGACAGAAGGGCAACATGGAAGTCCTGGACCTCTTTTCAACATACTATATGGCACACCAGTATGTGCCTTCATTTTGAAATGAGGACACACATCTGATTTTGATACTGCTGGGATTTCTTGAAGTGTGTGGTCAGCTCGAGTTCAGGAAATATACTAAAAATTAGTATAATTGCCTGTGGCCTAGCATCTTTCATTGCACAATTAGAGAAGAAGCCCGGGATTACAGTAGGGAGCAAGATTCCCTGGGTGAAACTGCAACTGCTTAAGACCGTGCTGCAAGGTTGGAAAACTGTAATTAATGAAGACACACTGACCTTTGCAATGAGATGCAAGCACCACAGTAGTGACTTCAGGTAGGAATTTCTTGTATCTCTTATCCAAACACTTAATCTGAAGTCTGCCCATCTCAAGAAACTTACTGTACAGTAGCCCAGCATGGGTCAAGTGTGATCAGCTGCAAAGACTATTTTCATACCTGGCCAGCTCAGTTTACTTAGCTGCTCCAATGCAAAACTAACAAGCTAGTAATTACTGTATCTGTTTATCAGTAAGCCAAAAAAAACCCTAGCTATCCATTTATCGTCCAAATTACTAATAAATGCAGTGGGCTAGATTCTGATGTTACTGTTAATCTGTAATTTCCAAGTAATTCTTTCAGTATGTACTGTGCAAAGCAAATAAAGGGTGTTATATTTAACACAACATAAAGCACAGTGCTGATGCATTTATGAACACATTTTTCCCTCTTAAAACCATGTCACTAAGAGATGTTAAGGGTTTTCAATTCCAGTTAAAGTAATTGGACAAACAGAAGCACCCTCGAATTTAAATTAGGATTTCTCAGTCAAAGTGGAACAAATATCTTGAAAGAAAAAGAAATGTCTTAATGCCCAGGGTAATGATTCTCTTTTATCATGAGATCTAGTGCTCTTGCTCCTGGCTCACTGGCTGCATTAATATCACTTTTTCCTAACACGACTGCCTAAACGGTATTTTGAGAATTAGAACTCAAGTGCAAAGAGTTCACCCTGCTGCGAGTCTTCGTAAACTGCAATGGAAGTTGAACTCTTTGCAGCAAAGCTGAAAGAGACAACTGGAGTAAGCAGTCTACATCATTCCTGAGGCAGGACTGACAGACTCTGTACACTCGCATCACTCTTTGTGTCCAGATTGACTAAATTTCTCTCAACTTTTATTTCTTTTTGTACTTTACCATTGCCTGCAAATCTTGAGATTCACTTAATAAGCTTTCTACTGCAATCATCTTCTCGGTCAGATCCATCATTATCTTTGTTGCTTTGGCACTTGAGCATTTTGATTGGTCCAAAAAAGCCTGCTGGGCTTTGTCAGTCTGCTTCCAGAAAGCTTCCATCTGTGGAATATGAATCAAAAAACAATCTATGTTCCTTCATTAATCATCTAGTACCTCATTACAGTGAGAGGCATATGAGTCTACCAAGATATAAGTCACTGAGACTACAGACAGCTTTCAGTATTAGTTAAGTGAACATTTTGCAAAGCTAAGAGCCGTTTTACTATATCATGATACACGTGTTGATGGCACATAACCAGTAGGTCAATCCTGACCTTTTTAAATGTAGTCATTCTGTGTAACTCGCTAAGAATCTGTTGTTAGTTCTCCACACACTGCATCCATAAAAGCCTATTACATTGTTGGTATTAGTGGGAAAACTAAAAAAGATAACAAAGTGCAGCTCTTTTTTCTGTGAAGTTCATTTAGCTGTAGGAACAGGCATTTCAGTCAAACAAGTCTTTTGCTAAAAAAGAAAAACTGAAAATTGTCACTGTTTTTCACCATCAAAGCTTTTCATAGCCACATGCTACATAAGCACTTTATTAACCATGCTGGAACTGAGTACTTTATGAAGCACCACCACAGTGTATGTGCCTGTTCTGATACCTTATCTCTAAGATACCTTGTCTGATACCTTGTCTACCTGTTCTCTACTCTCTTCTTGTGAGACCCCATCTGGAGTACTGTGTCCAGGCCTGGGGTCCCCAGCACAAGAGATGGAGATCTTGGAATGAGTCCAGAGGAGGGTCACAAAGATGATCAGAGGGCTGGAGCACCTCTCCTATGAAGAAAGGTTGAGGGAACTGGGAAAAACTGAGTTTAGCCTGCAGACCTCACTGCGGCCTTCCAGTACTTGAAGGGAACCTATAAACAGGAGGGGGAGTGACTATATACAGGGGTTGATAGTGACAGAACAAGGGGGAATGGTTTTAAACTAAGGGAGGGGAGATTTAGGTTGGATATTAGGCAGAAATTTTTCACACAGAGGATGGTGAGGCACTGGAACAGGTTTCCCAGATAAGTTGTGGATGCCCCATCCCTGGAGGCATTCAAGGCCAGGCTGGATGGGGCCCTGGGAAGCCTGCTCCTGTGGTTGGCAACCCCGCCCACAGCAGGGGGGTTGGAACTAGATGATCTTTACGGTCCTTTTCAACACAGGCCATTCTATGACTCTTATCATATGGGTAATCTCTAGTTTTAAGCTCTGATCCCACAAACACTACTGTGCACAACCGTGCATATTCTGTGATCTTCAATGGGATTACTAGTACACTAGGAAAATGTATCCATCGCCAAAAATTGTATTAAGTATCTGTGAGTTTTGCAAAAAACTATGACTACACCATCTGTGAGTATGGCAAAAAAGTCCATCTATGTTACTGAGGGAAGAGTGGATTAGTTGAAGGTCCTGATCTATATGAATCTGCATACAGGGAAATAATTTTCAATATGGATGAAAAACATCTGCTGGCATAAGAGTGATGGACCCACTGAAGGATGACTGCTGCTGCTGAATAACTGCCTCATGTTGCTCAGCGAGGCTGCCAGGGAGTTTTTATGTGACTAACTCCTGAGAACTCTACATAATCAATTTTTCAAAGAGCAAAGTTAAATTGCAAAAGAAACTTGATACAGATGTACCATCATTACCAGGACTTCCACTATAAAGTGAAAGGCACAGAGAATCACAAGCAAGCTGAGAAAATTCCTACTCAATCCTAGCCATCAGATATTAAAAAATGTTAACTCCCCTACGAAAAAAAGCCCAAGGCTGACATGATGGGCTGTTTAGTTCAGGGCTGAAGTGCCACAGTCAATCAGTGCAGGCAGCTCACAGAGACATCAGCCTGACTAGTCAGTCTCATTTTCATCAGCAGTGAATTTGCTCAAACCTTAAAAACAGGACTGGGAAGGAGAGTATCTTCCAGACTACTCAGTTTACTGGAAAATAATATGCAGAATATTCTTAAACTTCAGTTTTCTAGCCTGCAAGCTATTTTGACACAGTGATAGTACCGCAGAGAAAAAAACCCAAAACTTCCCTTTGAGAATCAAATGCCTGCTATCAAACTATATTTTTTACATAAAAACACCAGGTAAATGTATTATAATGTGCAGAGCTGCTAAAGCAAAAATGTTTTGCTAAACCAAACGTGCAAAGCATGCTAAAAGGTAATTATTTTCTTCGTAATTATTTCAGCTTAAAAATGTTATATAGTCTCTTATTACTCTCTTACTGAGTTATGAAGCACTGAAGAAAACAAGGTGCTAGGATAATATTCCTAAAAGTCTGACTATACCTAGGCTTGAAATAAATCTTACCATCTGACAACAGACATTTCCCAGCTCTAAACCCAGTGTGATAAAACAGTATTTGTGTTAAAAACACACTGGCTCCCAAAGGGAGCTGGAAATACTTTGCTGGAGCAACGTAAAAATGTCTTCAAGACTCATGCACATCTAAAGTACTAACTGTGGACTAGTCAACACAACAGTTTTGAAAAAAATAAAAAAGCATTTCCCACCAAAAAAATAACATTAAAATAGAATTTTAGGAGAGAAAAATTAGAACGTTACATCATCTATAATGTGCTCAGAATATTCTCTTTCTTTCCTTTCTAAGTCTTCTAGAGTCTGGTACTCTGAATTATGGGCTCCTGACATCTCAGTATTCTGGAGTCTAGAGTCAAGTTGTTTCTGTAATTCTTCAAAATCCTGGAAAAAAAGCAAGTGATTTGTTAAACAGAAAAACAGACATAATTTCTAAATTTGGGAGTGAATTTGTATGTCAATTGTGGCTTATGGCTAAGGAAGCTGAACAAGAGTGTTCAGGAAGTTCTCTCTCTGGGTAATGAACCTCCTGAAGCAAGAAAAGAAAACTGAAGGTATGTATTTGACAGCCCAAATACACTCCATACAAATACATACATTTCCACTAGTATGAGAGTACAATCAAGACTGTTGTCCACCTCCACTGAATTCAAGCTTTAGTAAACACTGCTCCACGAGCTTCCATTACAATAAGCCTTTGAATCTACCCACAAATATTTTTATTTTAGTGCAGGTGCCCCATCTTAAATAGCAGCTATGGGTGAATACACTGTGTTTGAAAGCACAGAGAAGTATCCAGATATGATAGTCAGATAGTGTTTCCTGCAGGGTGCTAGCACGCATGGAGGAACACACCTGTAATGCTCATAAGGCACAAATTACAGGCTACATGATTATATGGGTTTTTAAAATTTTTCAGTCCTTTGAAACCTGGATGATTTCTTCTGAAAGCAAATGATACTGACAAATACTAGTCTACTGCCCTTAGCAGCTTGGTACTGAAATGGATGATGCTGCAGTTGCTGAAACAATAACAAGCATTTACTCTTAGTATCACACAATTTTGGGTGTCAATGCATTAACTTGATACCCTATGTCTTAAAGAAATGTAACCAGATTTTGACAAGCTTCACAAACAATTTAATCAAAATACAATAAATTTTTCTTACAATGCAGGATTAAGAGGAAAATGCTGTCTGTGACAAATAATATAACCCTCATTCCTGCCAATGCAGTATTACATGCAGTAGTTTCCAATGTTAATGCTTTCGCTTATTACCAACGTCTCTTTCACATGGTATCCCTAACCAGCCTCATCCCTTATGTGGCTTGGCAGGGCACTGGATAGCCTACGTTATTCCCTGCTTCCTACAGAAGGTTGGATCAGATGATCTCCAGAGGTGGCTTTCAACCTAGACTTTTATATGACCCTAATCCAGAAAACAGAAAGTCAAACCAGTAGCTCTCCTATTTTATTCAGTTTTGTAAAGCTTTTTTTCATTCTAATAATCTTAAAAATAGTATTGTGGCTTCACCTGAAATGCATGTTGACTTTCAATATATGTCATCTAGTTCAGAAGTGGAAAATGGATTTTGATACAAGTATATGGAAGAAAAAAGGATAAAGAGGAAAATAAGTATATTTTCCACTGAAAAAAAAACTCTTGAGTTTCCTTCTGGTACTGTATTTCCTGCTATTTTATTATCAGTAATGATACATGGGACCAGACAAAGACCTAATAATTAGAAATTTTTAAATCTCATTGAACAAGGTTCACAATGTTCTGTTCGTTTGAGTGGACTCACCTCAACCATTTCTGTTCTTAAAAGATTAGACACATCATTGTCCTGATCTCAACATACAGCAACAAGGGGGAAATGTGGATAAGGTAACACAGAGAACCATGTGACAGGAGTTTACTCGCATTTCTGCTGAAACAGATTACAGATGACATTGCTATTTAAAAAAAGTAGGTGAGATAGCCTGCTGTGGAAGCTTGCACCAACTGGTCACATTAACTCTTATTTTCTGTGGTCTGAAATATTAACCAACAAAACCACTTACATTTTCCTGACTTAAAAGGATCTTCTTGAACAAATCATCAGTAATCTTCTTCTTTCGACAGAAGTCTGTGAAGTACATTTTGAGAACCTGAATAAATATCTATTCAAAAGGAAGGAAACAAAACCCAGGGTAAATGCCTGTTCAACATAGTATGGCTATCTTTGTGATAACTCTTGTTGTTTTAAATCAATCAGTGAGACTACAGTGAATCTCAGCAAAACAACAGAAACCTATCGGAACTAGGTAGTACTTCGATTATGAAAAATTATTTGGTTTTGGCTTCATTAAGATACTGGAAGATGGCGTTCTGTTCTACTAAGGACAAGGACATAATCTCATACAGCCTTGCAACCAGACCGACACTCTGAAACTGTCCTTCATTGGACAATATGATCACTTAAAAATACAAAGCCCATTTTTTTAAAGTTTAATGAACTCCTAAGCTGAACATAGTCATTACCATAATTTCAACTGTAGTCTGCCAAAGTAAGTATCAATCATTTTTATATACAACACAAAAGTAACCATCTCAAGTTCTAGCTACTTTCTCTTACAAAAAATACACTTATTTGCCAGCTCTTGGTTGTTTTGGTTTTTTAAAGATTGCAATATTAGTGTCTTCAAAAAGAAGTTTTTGAACACTGGGATAATTTTTGCTTAACGTCTTCTCCTCTTGCCTTGATTAGAGTGCCAATGTAAAGACAATTCACTTCATTACTAAATGCTGTAGCATTTTCCAACGTGAAGACAAACATATGCAAAATTTAACAGCCACCTGCCCGTTACTCATGTACTTGAAAACAGATGATGCAGAAGTTGCCCATTTTAAATATATAAATACATAAATAAAATCACATTTAGATATAAAAACAGTTATCAAAGCCAACATTTCAGCTGAGCAAAATCTGGAAAATACATTCTAATTAGAGCTCAGTAGAAGACAAAACCATAAAGCAGCCATGATTTGGATCTCACTTGCCAATGTTCTGGATAGGAGTTTGGTGAATTTTGAATACACACCACCAAAATACCACAGTGTAAAAAGGGAAAAAAAAAATTCAGGAAAACACTGAAGAGGGTGTGTTTTCTTTTCTTAGACCTGATGCTAATAAAGACTGAAATCAGAGAAAACAGAGTGGAAAAGGAAGAAACTATTTTCAGACTGATTTTCTTTTTTTGCTCTTTTTCCCTGCTAGCAAAAATATAAAGCTATTCAAAGCTTCAGCTAAAGGTTGAATTCAGATGCCTTCTGTGGTAATTTCTGATGGGCCACAAAGTGCATTAAATGCTCATTTTGTCTGTGGTTCTGTGATTAAATCACCATGTTGTTACCTTACCTTCATTTACAAATTGATGATTAACTTTAAGATCAAGCTCAAGCTTCCCTTGGAGAGCTAAATTTCCTTCTGGAATCTGATCTCAAGTTTGCTTTCTTATCTACACAGATGGGAATAAAACCCACCTGAAGAGAAGCTGCTTTCCAGGTTTACTGTCATGCTTCCTCCTTTTGGTTTTGTAGAAGCTTGTTCAAAACATCCTACCCCTTGAAATATTCTCAGTGCATTTAATAAACTATATCAGAAATGACCAATCTGTTTAAACAGAGGTTGGGAAAGAAGGGAAGGAGAAAGCTATATACTTTATGTCCAGATTTGTATTAACTGAGCTAAAACTCAGTAACAGTAATGATTCTGTACTTGATCATAACTAGTCACCATAAACAATTCTCCTAACTGAATATTCTGTGGCTTTAATTGTGTATATCCATTTTTGGTTTGTTGTTTTGTTTCTTTTTTTTTTCTGTTAGCTTTGGACACTGTGATTTGATGTAAGTAGCTGTCTATGGTTTAAATGGTACCTTAATTCCTCCGTCCTACCAAATCATGACTATTGTACTTATCACAATGGTATTGACTCAGCTCAACTGATTTTTCAGTTTTATTCAAAGAGTTTGGAGTCCTTGGAGTTGCAATGCACAAATATTGTCCTTAAGACATACCTCATCTACTTAATAATTTTTTCCCCTTTTTATGAACCTCAAGTGCTGTACGTTATTCTCTGGAGTGAAGTTTAAAACCAAATTTTTATGTTATCCAGTCTGACCCTCTGTATTTCACACCCCAGCATATTACATTATATTTTATTCCTTTATGAAGCTCAAAGATATGCAGAACAGGAGAAAAAATAAAGACAAGACTGTCAAAATGGAACTCTGACACACTACTTCCCAGCGAGACAGTTGTTTATTTCCTAAACTGATATTCAACTAAGATGTTAAAAACAAATAGCTATAAATAAGACATGAGTACCTACCCCATGTTTTTCTTTTCTGAGTTTAGAATCAAGAAGCATGAGATCTTTTAAAATAAGACTGCAAAGGCAGAGCTTAACATCAAAACTAAAACAAAGATTAAAAAAGTGTTAATATCAATCTAAATGAAGGTTATACAAAAGGGCAACACCATACAGGAGAATTTAGTGGTTAAATGAAATTACTAAAAGCATTGCCTCTGGAACAGCAGTCAAGTCAATTTATTTCTACATTGCCTTCTCTTTCAGATAAAATATCTCTACACAAAAGTAAACAAAACAAAATAGTGGTTTTAACAAAGGAGTTGCAGTTCCTTTAGAAAAAGGCAAGGTAAATATATGCATGAGTGGCTACAACAAAGTAAAAACAAGGCTTTAAACTAAAACAGCTATAATAAGAGTGGACATTTTGAAAATATTCTTCATCGCCAGTGTCTTCCCCAGTCCTCACAGTGACACAGATACGATTTTCTTTATTCCTGATACTGGAATACAGACACGTATGTATTCATCTAGCGGTACCTTGCCATGGTGCAGCTGAAAGAAAATCAGAGCTGACAGTCCATTTCGATTAGCTCTACCTGCTCATCAGCAGCACATCTGAGAAACATACTGTCTTCCCACATTATGGAACAAGTAGTTCCCATTAAAACAGAGAACAGACCACTGCCATTTGCTGTTCTTGAGGCATCTGCTGTGTGACTTGACGTTGTACAGTGCAGAGGACTCCATCCCCAGTTGAGCACGCCATTGCATGTGTGAACTGAGCACGTGAGCCAAAACAAAGGGATCTCCTTATCCTAACAGTGACATACCCCTTATGAAACAGCTTTTGCCAAAGTTCTCATTCCCAGAATTTCATAATGAAAAAACTGCCTATCAATATGCAGCATGGTGGATTACTTCAACCTCCCCAATCACTTTTTTAAGGTTATAAGCAGATAACCCTCTCTTGATGCGGTGAATGCATGCATTGAAGCACAGTCTGTGGTTTACACCAGACATTTAGTGCCTGTCCCGAAAACCACTAGGGTCCGTTAGGAAAAGACCAAACATGGGGCAGGTTTACTGCTTACCTGTCACATATTAGCACTTCAGGGAAGCTGGTCACCTTGAGGAAGGCTCGAGCCTGAAACCTGTCATCGCTTGTTGTGGAATGTATTGTTGTGGAGGAACTGCAGTCGTCTTTGTCTCCCTGGCTCAGGGATCCTAGGCTGCCTGATGTAGATGTCTCCATGACCTGATTAGGCAGAACCACCTGCTTTGAATTCTCATGCAAAGATGGATTGGATGAGCCATCTGCCAAAGGCTACAGTCAAAGAAAATTTACAAGGTCAATTAATACAACACAAGGAGATAAACATCTCATCAATTTGCAGTGTTTGCTTTCAAGTGAAAAATTAAACAATATCCACAGCAAAAGTGCTTCCACATAAATTAAAATTCATCATACTAATAGGTGTGTGCATTGCCCGGAAAACCATTTTTCTGTTATGGCTACTTGCTTGGTGCATGTTTTCTTACTGAAGGGCAGATCCTTGTGGGGTTTTTCTTATGTCTCCTTGGGCAGACCCAACTTCCATTAATGTTATTGGGAAGAAAAAGTTTCTTGACTACAGTGAAAATTGACCGGACACCATGTAAAGCACTGCAGGTTTCAAGGGGAGCTGAAAGCAGCTGACACCTCACAGAATAAGCCCTGAGTCAACAGACTATAAAAAAAGAAAGATCCCTATTAAGCAGATTGGCACTAACTTTTCTTCCATTACTTGACTCTGCAATTTACTCTGACACAGAATGATGAAATAGAATAGTAGAATCTAAAACCTTACCCTAAATTTCTGATTGATGGGATAGACCACTTTTGCCTTTAATGCAAACGCCGTGACATTATTGTCCAGGGGAGACTCACTTTCCTGTATGGAAAAGAACAGAAAACCATTTGGGAATTGCAGTAGACCTGATGGTTGTTCACTGTAATCATTGCATGTCCCTTTCGGTTACACAATTTAGAAACTCCTATCGATAACTATTGACTGTTTCTGCTTTGGCACAAGAAGTCTTCTCATAAGACTCATCAGAGTATGAAATCCAGAAAAGAAAACTCTATCATTACCACTGCTCCAAAATGTTTTTACTCCTGCAAGGGAAAATAGGTAATAACTGATATTCACAAGTTATTTTCATTTCAGGTTTTTTCTTCGCCTTTAGTAGCAACTAAATATTTCACATGAGAGACCGAAATTATCTTAATATCAGAAGCTACTAAAGGATAAGCTCCACAGATATCACCATGGCTATACATTCTGACTTTCTATATAATAAAGAAACAATAGATTAAACAAAACTAGTCACCATTTTTTCCAGGAAGAATTTTTATAGTACAACCCTTACCTATAATCTAGAGAAAATACCAATGTTCTTCCAAAGAGCTTTTTATAGATAATGCATTCTTTTGATACAATCTGCTATTTAATCTAACTTTCTACTCCTTTTTTCTAGTCATTGCTTTATGCAGTGGAACAATGGGATAATCAGCTTTCTTTGGTGAGGTTATGTATGGCTTAATAAAAGGCTGGCTATAAGCAACAGATAGAATGTTTAAGTCCATGCTTTAGGACATTACCTAGTCTAACTTTTTTGGTTTTGTCATATGAAATGAAATAATCTGATTTCTCAAAACACTATTTTCTTTATATAGATTTTTCCAGGAAATAGCAAAGTACTAATAGAGTCTAAAGATAGAGACAGGAAGAGAAGAGCAAACTACGTCATTCATTAGACTATTTTATCATTTCACCTTTTCATCTCCATTTCATTTATTTCCAGAAGTCATTTTTGGATTTACTGATAAAGTTAAAAGCACGCAGTCAGCACGTAAAACAGTTGTTCCTACTGAGCAGTCCCACTGCTGTAGTACATATTCAGGGACAGAAGCTGACAGATTCACTGCTCTGCAATGGCTAGAGGCAGAGCAGCTCCAGTCCAAAGCCATAAAGCCATATTGCAGTGTGCTAGAACTACCATATCCTGCTTTTCAGCAAGCATGAGTAACACAGTTATTATTAATAGGGTAATTATGGTATTACTGCAATGTGGAAGGTCTCAGAATGAAAATACCTGTTTTTCTCACATGCTCTAACCTAACTAAAAGCATTTTCCATCTATGCTTCTCCATGAACAGTCAATTTGATGCTAGTAACAGCAAAAGCCTCTGGGAATTGGAACAAATTAATAGAAAAAAAATATGTAACTTTAGTAGACAGGTGGGAGAAAGTCCCTTCAAATAACACAGTTACTTCTTAATGTGTTATAAATGAGCTAGTGTGTTTGGCAAATTGATATAGCTCTGAATGATCACCTTTAAAAGAAAGACCATGATCCCATTTCAAAAGGACTGGTAGCATGCAAAAAAGTTACATTATTACATAAGTTTTCCCACAGGATTTACACTCCAAAAGAGAATCTAATTCATGCTCACTTGTTATGCTGTACTTTAACTCAAGCAAAGTGACCAACCATGGTTTGTCACCATCCCTGATCACAAAACTGAAATGAAGATCAACTACCTGTCAGGATTTAAACCAACAGTAAGATGTTTACAATCTTCTCTTTGTCCTGGAACCAGTTCTCGTTACAAGCTAAGCACCAGACTGGCTGGCTTTAACCGACACTTTTTGCATGTATTTAATTTATGTATAATTGACTGAATGAGTTAGCTGAACTGCACACTTTTTAAAACATGCAGTTCAACTCACAACCTTTACCTTCACCAAGAGCAGTCAAATGAACTTTGTGTGATAGGCAGTGATCTAACAACTATCCGGTAGGACTGCTTCTCAAGTTATTTTGAGATTACTAGAAAAAAAAAAAGTTATTTGAATTTTTTAATTGAGGGTGGGTTAAGTTTATACATTCTCCTACTTTTCCTTCCAAATTGTTTCTCTGATTGTCCTTGAAACCCAGCACACCACACTGCTGTTTCAGTACTTGTGGTCATTCGACCTCTGCACTGTTGTCTTCAGTTGGTACCTGATGAGAGAGTTTCCTATGTGATAAAGACATTTATTCTTTCTTCCTCCATTGTATTACTCAGTCCAACTGACAAGTCGGAGCCTCTAATAAGTCTCTAGCAAAAAAAAAGTATATGTTCCAGACTGGACCTGATGAGGGAACTTTGTTACTGTCAAAATTTCTCTAATAAACCTCCTTCTCCAGGAAAGAATCCACTATTAGCTGTCAGCACTGATTTCAGTACTTAAGAACTTTTCCTTATGTCAATAGTGTTAACTTTTCCCATCAGCCATTTGAAATTAAGGACAAAGTAGAGACAAAACCAAAGAAGCTCCTGTCCAAAAAGATCTCAGGATCTCGATTAAAAGATCCAAAAAGAGTCCCCCAAGAGAAATGGAATTCAAAAGGTGAATGAGTGACTAAAATGGTTGTCTTCATAAGCAGCCATCAACTCCCCCTCTCCTTCTTACGCTTTTTTCTGAAAACTAAAGGTTCAATTCCAAACCCAATGAAATTAAGACAGTTTGGACCAGGCCCTGAATGTGCTCATTGCTACATGCAGCAAAATGAATATCCACCACCAAGAGCAGAGCTTTACCTCTAGTAGAATTTCCTCTTTTGATGTATAGGGTTCTGCTTTACTTTTTGTGAGTGTGTGCTCTTTTTGATCAGTGTTGAAGCTCTCCAGAAGTCTCTGGGAATCATCCTTCTGAAATTCCAAAAGAAAAAAATGTAACACTGAGATCAAGTGGATTCACTGGAAACATCTTTGACAGTAGCCTGGATACACTCACATAGAATCCCAGAATCATAGAATGGTTTGAGTTGGAACCTTCAACAATGTGGTGAATTGTAGATGCCGGTTTCTAGAAATCTACTAATGACAAACAGCTACAAGCTACAAGTGTGTCCCAGAAATCTTGTCACTTACTTGTCCCAAACCAGAATCACTCACAAAATTCAGGTTGAGTGATCAGGACTTGTAGAAGTAGTCACATTGGATTCACCACTGAACCTCACACCATCACCACTCCAAAATAAAACTTTCTTCTCCCATCTTATTTCTCTGTTCATATTCATCTAGTACTCATTTCCACTCCTTTGTATCTTCACTATGATTTTAAGTGTTTGAATTTTTTCAGGATTCATTTATTTTCCCTGCTAACATTTCTAATCTCATTGCCTTTCCCTCCATTTGCTTTTTGTCCTTTTGTTATTTTTTGCAACTGAAGTGCTACTGAGCTCCCCTTTAAAAGCATTAAGAAGTTGAAAAAATTAAGTCTAACTATAACTACTGTAACACTTCATCAAGCCAATCTACCAGAATACCATAATAAGGCAAGCTCCATCCCAAAGCATGGGCAATGCTGTACTCTAAGAGGACAATATTATCAATAGACATGTACTACAGCACACTACATGGTCTCGTTACCATGGTAAAGGTTTCTTCTTAAAAATATCCCAGTGCATCCTATGCACAGATTATCAAACCAATAAGGTTTAACTGCATGCAACCAAGCCCCACAGACTCACTGAGATCTATAGAATAGTGATTAACTGGAGCTGAGTGACACATGCCAGTAGTTTATTGTGGTGCCTGTGGCTCCTTCGGACTCCAGGTACTTGCCCTGCTCCCACTGCAAGGATAACTCAGCTGGTTGGGAAGCAACATGGCATACTGAGGTCAACTATCCCTGCTTTTACTTTGATACAGAAGGCTGTAATATGTGCAGTTCAGTGCCTGCTACACATACAACAGGATTGCTCCATAACATCAGTGGGGCAGACAGTACGTGGAAGGATAGAATCAACACAGCCTAAGGCAGTCGCGTTTGCATTCAGGAAATCAGACCCATAGGATACAACCTGCCCACCCTGCAATGCGCTCTGTTTGCACTAGCAGGCAGTTTATTTTTCTTTCAAAATAAACAACTCTTTTACAGCAGCAGCATTTATTTTGATGGCATTTAAGCACCTTAATTCATCTGAAGATCTGGGCTGAGAACTGACCCTATTCACATCTGTGACATAAAGGATAAAATCTTATGGCTATATTTGAGCTGGTAGTGGCAGTACAATAAAGATACCACCTATTAAGGTTGAGAAAATGAGCAACTGAATCAGAGAGGCTTGCACTTGCACAGGATGCATTGATCCAGCATTTGAAGTACCTCCATTACTAGGTTAAAGCATGGCTTCAAACAAAGTTTCAAACCTTGTACTTAAAAGCATCTGGGAGCAAGAGGATTTTTCTCTTATGTCGTGTTTAATGACGATCAACACTAACAGATACGCACATGCAGCAGAGCCGTTGTAGCTGAAAAAAGGTGTGGTTAAAAGCCAAGCCAAACCAGACCCCCCACTGCAGGCTGACAGAACGCTCTGCGGGGCTCCAAATTTCCCAGCTGCGCCAGCACCAACCATTACTACATCCAGTCAATCCAGCACAGCTTGGGACTAACTGTGATGGGAAAAAGACGAAAATGTCAATAACAGTGCCCAGAAAATGTACCCGCTCAGTAGCAGTTCTGTGGGTATGTGCTACCTCTGGAATCCTGGAATCCAAACAAACACTTTAGTTAATAAAGAGATGTGAACCATCCACTACCATCCTTAAAATGGCAAGGCAGGTATGTTATTAACAAAATCACATGCTTTAGAAAATCCTGTTTAGTTTTGCATCAAGCAACTGTCAGATGTCTTCTGCCTCCTTTATTTCTCAGGTACATATGTGTGTATCCTCTGTGTAAAATTATCGCTGCAGGTTAGTAGTAAAACTCTGCTTATCCTGTTTGTAAACTCAGTTTTGGAAAAGTTCATAAAATACTCTGGAAATCGGAATATCCTTACTGGTTTGGAATGGAAATCAGTGTTTCACCAAGTTTCGGCAACCCAGGTACACCTTCCATTGTCCCCAAAAAGCATCACGGCCTGGCACAAGAAGCAATTGCTGCAAGAGGCAAGCAGCGGGTCACCCGTTAAAGGACACAGGCCAGCAGGGCACTACTCACAACACGTAAATACTTCAACCGGCCTCTTTTTTGAAAGAAGCTTTTGTTAAGAGTAAATTTGTCAACGATGAAGAAAGTAATAAAATCCTTTCCAGAAAGTCATAAAATCCTTTCCAGCAGCAGCACTTGAGGAGTTACGGGGCTCCCCACCTACCCCCGAGCTCACCCTCAACTATCCCCGAGCCCGCACA